AGTGATGTAGGAATCCTGAGACGCCTAGGGAAACCCTTGAACTCTTCGGGGAAAACAGCGTGGATGCTCCTAGCAGGAACGCTGCTTGCCAAATTGTGATTTACGAACGCACGACGATGGACACGTATTTACATACCGGCCGGCCACGGACAGCTGCCTGGAAACTCGTAATGTAATTTTAACTCGGTGCCGAGTGGACGGCTGTCACGCGCGGGATCTCTCTTCCTGCTTCCCGTGGACGAAAGTCAGCTCCGTCCCGGCGACATTCTTCCAGTGCGTTGTCCGCGCGGGACACAGGCCGCGTGGCGAGCGAGAGGGAGAGACTCGATGGGAATTTTTCCGGCGTTCCTGTTTTGCGGTTAAGCTAATTTATTGGCACTAATCGATCGTGCCGCGGCGATCGCTGTTCCACGCGGATTCCGCTGGATCCTCCGATGTCGCTTCTCTCCCTCCTCATTTCTCCTTCGACTGTTTCTCTCGCGCAACCAGGAAGCCGTAAAATCTTTATTGTTGAATTATCACGCGGTATCTCGCGCGCGGCCGATCCCCGGGGTCGCGAGCCACGCAACACGGGAAAATTCTTTCCCGATCTTGATAACTGTTTCTGCTTCCACGAAGTCGATGGAATTGCATGCTTGCCCGATCGGATGCGTCCATTCAGATTAGGGATTGCCGCGCGAGCCATCGGCCTTTGTGAATGCCCGGACGACCCGTCGATTGCTCTGTAAAAAATTCTTTGCAGCTCTCAATCCAGTGCGCATCTGCTCGATCGAGATAACAGGGTCAGGACTATTTGTCGCCCGCTTTTTGTTCCTCCCGTCATCTCGATGCCCCGTGATTCCAGTACCGTTTCTGGCCAACGATCTTCGGGTCTCTCCGCGACGACTCGTGATTCCGCAGAAGGAGAGACGCGCGATTCAGGTTGACGAGGATTCGATGACTCTCGAAAATAACCCCGACCCCGCCGATTCGTTCCTCGCTTCCCGGTGTTCTTGCGGCCGTAAATAGGTTAATTTTCTCCTAACTGTTCCGAGAAACATGTAGATCATCGCGATCTTGCGATTCCTCGGTTTTTGCCCCGGGGAACCGGGTAGTTCGCCAGATGCCAGCGGAATCTTCTTCTGACGCCGAGGAACGGTTGATCGCGGAACCTGCGATTTGCCAGCGGAAATTGAATCTATTGTCGTTTGTTTCTCGTGCGCAGCATGGTCGAGATCAGGGACGAGATCTCTGAGTCAGCTCCTATGCCGATCTTAGGGGTCGGTGTCAGACAGGGCGGCACCTTGGTCACCGGCGAATTGAACGTCAGCCCAGGAACACCTCTGCAAATGGAGATCTTCCTAGACAATCATTCGGCGCCGATTTACGGACTGTTGGTCAGCTACATGCTGGTCACCGACACCAAGTCGCAGGAGGAGACGATCATTATTAACGGGTAAATAGAATTCTTTGACCGTTTCCCGCGGTTGCTCCGAACGGGACGATTGTTCAACTTGATTTTTACTTGCACAGTTGCTCCGTGGATCCGTACCTCTTCGAGAACTTCAACACCGTGGACGGTGACTTCTTGACGGCGAAATTCCGGGCTTTCAAGTTCCCGGAAAGTACTTACGTGCAGTTCCGCGGAACAGTGAACGTCTGTTTGGACAAGTGCCAAGGGGTAAGTTGACAGTCAGACTCGCAGAATGACGCTGTCGAGGTTTGTTTAAGTGATCCTCTGACCGCAGATCGAGTGCATCAATGGGCAAGTAGGTTTCGGTAGGAAGAGAAGGGCCATAGAAGCCTCGAACAACGACAAGAACAAGATCTTCGAGGTGACCATGTCCACGTTCATCAAGGTGGACTTCGAGGAAGACGCCATTGTCGACAAAGGTAAATTCCCGCGTGCTGTTCGTAGTTCTCCTGTTTTAATGCCGATTCCACGTGCTCGACAGCTCTGTCGGAAATGTACATCAGAAAAGGGAAGAACCGGACGAAAGCCAGAGCCGTGATCGCGGAAGAAGTCAGAGATCAGGCTGTCCCGACGACGATCAGAACAGAGGAGAGAGCTTTCATTGCGCAACAAAGGAGTGAACAATTTAAATACAATGTTACTGAGACGGAGACGAGCGGCTCCTCGTGTAGAACGATAGCTATTGGCTTCGCTGTTGCCCTCCTCTGTCTCTGCAAGATGTTGTAGGATTCAAGGAGGAACCGACTTACTTCAGGAACGACGAACGATCGCTGATTGTAAATAGAAGGCAGCTAGTGAACCAGCCGGGTTCGAGCGAATCGTCGAGGAGAAACGGACCGAGTTTGGAGCCGGACGTTAGTATAATTCTTTTCCTTCATACGTAGAAGCAACGGTGACCTGCGAACGCGATTCCGCAACGATTCAAGAAATCCGATCGACTCCTTGTAGGAGTTACTGTAACGACGAACGATCGCGATCCGTTTGATACTGGGTTAAAAAGAAAACGTGCTCAAGGTACTTCTCCGCTCTGCGACCGTCGAATTTCCGTTCATATCCGTCCCCCGTGCCCAATCGTTGTCTTTCCTCTTTATGATCTTAGTTGTACGTTCGTGAATCGTTTAATAAATAACAACCGGCGTGTCTGCACGCCGAAAGAAAATCGGCCTTTGCGAGCGGAGAATGCCGAAGACCTAGTCGCGCGGCCAGCTGTAACATCGTGGTACGACTTCAAGCAAATATAGAGAATCACAGAGGTAATTAATCGCTGCTACAATATCCGAGCGTAACTATAACGGAACGCCGCTAGTGTAAAATAGCTATTAATAAAGAGGGGGCCGACGCGTCGATACGCGTAGATTCCCGCTCCTTGTCGTTCCTCTCTCCCGTGCAAGAGCGTGTATCCTTGCTTCGCAGTTGCGGCGAGTGACGGGGAACAAAGAAGAAGGCTAATGAAAACGCGCATTGAAATATACAAAAAAAAACCATACGCATATACTTGGATTGTTTAACACTCATGTATACATGACGACTCCGTATAAAAAAAAATATATATATATACATAATGTATTTCTTTGGCTTGTAATAATATCGAATAGACAAACGTCGATCATCGCAGTTCGGTTATGCTTCGATACTCGCGGCTACCACGGTCCGTCTACATGCGGAATATTCCGAATTTACTTTCAGGAATCGGTGCGTTCAGCGTCGCTGATAAACTGAGCCCGAGCACCAGTCTGGTATCGGCGGGGTCAATCACACCGTCGTCCCATAATCTGTAAGAATGATTTAATTTCGTGACTTCGCGTTTTCAGCTTGAAAATTTTAGCTAGACTCACCTGGCACTAGCGTAATAGGGGTTGCTTTCTTGCTCGAACTTCTCTATGATTGGTCTCTTGATCTTTTCTTCCTCTTCCACGGACCACTGTTAAAGTCAGCAAAATTGAAATCCTGTCTAAAACGATAAATCTCGACATCTGTACCTGTTTGCCTTCTCGCTCGCACTGTTGTCTGCTAATCTGAACCATTACTCCTGCAGCTTGTTCTCCTCCCATCACAGATATCTTGGCGTTCGGCCAGGAATAGAGGAATCTCGGGGAATAAGATCGACCACACATTCCTGTCATCAAGTAGATATAAGTAAAGATGATCAAGGTTCCTTTACTGTTCGAAGCATCGAATATCTAACCCAAAATGCTTTTATATTAACAAACCATAGTTTCCGGCTCCGTAAGAACCACCTATCAACACCGTAATTTTTGGTACTTGAGCGCAGGCGACTGCAGTCACCATTTTCGCTCCATTCTTCGCAATACCTCCAGCTTCTGCATCTCTTCCCACCATAAACCCTGTAGTTTCATAGCGAACGTGTCGTAAACTGTTACACAGGGTATATATACTTCGAGATAACGATATTCAGGGAGATCATAAGTGATAGTCAATTTTTCCATATTAGTTTCCGCTTTAGACCGTTTCTTAACGCGTTAAATGCCGCACAATTTTACAGAGTAAAATTATTTATAATATAGAAGTGTTTTCAAATAACAATCGTTTAATTGAATCAACTATAGTAATTCGATGCGGCTGGAGGTCACGGGTGACCTCTAAGGCATTGAACGTGTTAAAATACATGTCTGGGCTCAGTAACCTAGAATGGAGTCCTTGCTGCATCGTTATCGCGAAGTGTACTATTGTTTCAACGAAGCAGTAGATACGGGCCTGTGATATTCTGCAAGAAGATAAGGGGAATCTTCCGTTGCGCACAGAGCTGTATGAAATGCGCACCCTTGAGGGCACCTTCCGAAAAGAGCACCCCATTATTCGCGACTATTCCCACCGGATAACCGTAGATCCTAGCAAACCCAGTAACCAAGGTTTCACCGTACTGCGCTTTGAATTCGCGGAACTTGGATCCGTCAACGATTCTGGCGATCACTTCTTTCACGTCGTAGGGTCGCTTCAGGTTGGTGCCAACGATACCATAGATCTCATCGACCGCGTGAGCCGGTACGTCTATTTGCTTGCTGATGTTCACGTGCATCGGCCTTTGCCGGTTCAAGTCACTGACGATCTGCCGGGTAATGTAAAGAGCGTGATGGTCGTCCATCGCGTAATGGTCGGTCACTCCTGATGTCCTGAATCCAAATCACGGTAACTGAGCCACCGAGTTGCAGCATATCCAGTGGCGGCTCGTAACTATAATTAGTGGGGATGCTGCTCCAGAAAATGTTTAGCCTTTGTTTTTAAATGTTTGTATCTTTTTCTTAAACGGGAGGATTGCTACTGACATTAAGCTTAACACGTTGGATGCCGCACAATTTTAAGGTGCAGAATATGCGAAATGAAAAAGATACAATATTATAATATTTCACTGAATTGCGTTGTTGTTATCGCAGGTTTGTTTTCCCGAATGTCACTGCATTAGATAACATTATTTATAATATAGAAATGTTTTCAAATAATCATCGTTTAATTGAGGGAATCGCAGCAATTGAATTTGACCGGGGTTCACCGGTGACCCCAATGGCATTCAACGTGTTAAGGATTATATGTTGTACAAGTATAAGGAAAGAATTAAAGAAAAAAAGGACTCATATTAAATGTTATCGATAATATCAAGTGGAAATTGGGGGTGCTGCAGTTCCACAGTGCCTATGCGCGAGCCGCCACTGAGAAAATCTATAATGTAGAATTATTTATTAATTACCGGCAATGTACCGCCGCGCCACCCAAATCCTCTGCAGAAATGTCCTCTCCCGTGGAAGCTTTGACTAGAGGTGGCCCCGCCAGGAATATGGTACCCTGTTTACCCACAATCACGTTCTCGTCGGCCATCGATGGTACATACGCACCCCCTACGAATTAATATTATTAGCCAGTCAAGTGAAATTCGTTAGAATCAACAGAAATCAATAGCGAATAGACCTGCCGTGCAGCTGCCCATTACCACAGCGATCTGTGAGATTCCCTTCGCGCTCATATTCGCCTGATTATAGAAACTCCTGCCAAAGTGCATTTTATCCGGGAACACATCGGACTGTCTAGACAAGTTAGCGCCACCGCTATCCACTAGATATATACAAGGCAGGTTATTCTCTTCCGCGATCTCCTGCGCTCTCAATTGCTTTTTCACCGTGATGGGATAATAAGTTCCGCCTTTCACCGTTGCATCGTTGGCGATAATCACGCACTCAGTCCTACGCGAACAATCGTACTTAAAAAGGAATTAATTCCTCTGGACATTTTTATAAAGATAATAAACGACATCTACCCTGCCACTCGACCGATGCCGGTGATAAGACCACCAGCTGGCACTTCTTCTTTTTCGTACAGCTCAAAACCGGCTAATTGAGAGAATTCAAGAAACGGAGACGTTTTGTCTAGAAGAGTGTCGATCCGTTCTCGCGGCAAAAGTTTCCCCTTTTTCATGTGTCTTCCTCTCGCTTTCTCTCCTCCACCCTCCACGATTTTCTCGACCGTTGCTTTGAGTCGCTTCACCAGGTGTTCCATTTGCGTATAGTTCTCCTAAAGACAATGCGTTTGTAACTTTTTGACTCCGGCGCGCTCTCGGAGGAATCCATCGGTATCATGTCAGTCGCTGCGACTGGTTGTCTACTGACTGGAGATTCGATACCATTTTTAGGATTAAAAAAAATAATAATTGCAAATAAATTAAAAATATCCATTTTTGGATACTATGTATATATTGATGGATTTACAAGGGTGTGTATATACGCCTTTCGTAGTCAAAGGGTTAATTCTGTATCAGTTTATTTCCAGGTACGTTATGGGACTCAAAACACAATTAACATTCATTTTTTTCCATTTAATTACCGTCTGGATCCACGAGTAACGACTTACGTAAGAGTGAAGTAACAATGTGCATATAAAGTATGAAATTAGGAGGCAATTTGCATTCTTCTAATACACATATGTCTGTTGGAGTAGTTTGTTTTAGTGTAACACGGTATGCGTGAAATTGTGTAATAGACATAAATTAGATTATAGCAATGGCATAACAATGGATCTATGGGTTGAGTAAGCATGCGCGTTTCAGACGGTAGAGCGCGACTCGCGGAGCGTGGACGTGCCTCCAAGTTATTTCAACAGGCGCTTGGACTTATTATCGCGCGAGCTGCGATAATGGAGGACGTCACGCGGCTGATGTGGCAACGGTTGTTATACTTTTCTCTTAACGACACGAGAAAAGTACAATGAGAGTTAAATTGAAATGTAAGGTGAACGAAACCACGATCATTTGCGAATGAGAATGACCCAGCCGATCGATCTAACCTGATACTCCGCCGAGTTAGAGTCTTGCGAAGTACCGATGATAACCGCTTCATCGTGAAACGTCCTCGTGAAGTAACGCAAGTGCGTCAACAGCAGGTTGCTTTTTCTTAACATTATGTGTTATTGAATTTTCTGTATCACTGTTCGAACTCACGTATCACACCGTATGCTTACAATGCTTGTAACAATAATTCACGCATGCCAGCGAGTTTCGACTGCTCAATGAGAGTCTCTTCTTTCCAATAAGGAGCCAATCACTGTGCCCATTCATTGTAGCCAGCGGTATAGCGATATAATCTGTGACGTGTAGATATGTATCTTTCAATCATGCATGATTTCAACTATAGAAAGAGTGGGGAATGTTTATTGTTTATTCGAGAGATATCAGTTTCGCCTATCTCACATTATAGATCAGATAATACGTATGAATATCAAGTGTAAAATTAGATTGTTCAGCACCAAATGAGGTTAAGATGATGTACTTCCATCGTAGTTCGTCAAAATCAGTGCAGATGGTGGGACACAGGATTTGCCCCCAAGGATATGTAACCGGCTACGATGATAAGTAAAAAGTGTACCCACAGATACGTTATCCAATGGGATTTCCTGCAGTTCTCAAATACCGACTTCGGATATTTCAAAGTTTTCAATTGTTAACCGCACGAGGGAGCTATCGAGCAATACCGCAGTCTTTCAGAACGAGACAGAACTGTCACTTACGGAATTGCTGTGAACTAAATACAATTCTCACATAATGTCGATATTGAAAGAATTCCCGTTCAATAACAGACTCAAAAAAAGGGATGTCTACATTTTGTGTAGTTCCCAAAAATAGACATCTACTAAAGATATTAATTATAAACGTATTGTTTTTGTAGATAGCACTCGAATCCGTCTCCGAGCGAAATAATCACTAGACTATCTAATCAATCCAGATAATTATTGTTAGATCTGTCACTAGCATTGTCACGATAATATCTACGATAAGAATTGTTCGGATACTCGAAGAAGAACGCAGTAATCGATCAATAGTTTTCCGGTTAACCGCTAAGGGTTCTAAATAGCAGACGTCCCCCTGTCGATTTCGAAAATGGCGGCGCGCGGGAAGCACGGCGCCACCGGTGTTCGGGTTTCTTCGTGTGCCGGCGACTTCGTACGGGGTGTACGGGGTCTACGGGACTCGAATCACGGAGCCCCGCCCTGCCGCCCGCCAGAGCCGTGAAGCAGCAGCAGTAGCAGCAACAGCAGCTCCGCTTGCTTCGTGTCAGTAATCATTTTTTTATCAATGAAAACAATTGTCTGAGCGTGGTGTTGTTCGACTGACCAAAACTGATACGGCGAGTACGTTGTGCCCGTGTTCACGTCATACCATTCCATGCAGTGACTCGAGAGTTAACCTTAAAAAAGAAGTGGCGGTCTCAGTGGTGTCGCGATAGGTAGTACCCACGGTGAAAAGGGACTCGTCTCATTCGTTACACATCGCCGTCGACGAGTGCGTTTCTTTCGGTCCGTTTCTCGGCACGGTGTATCGAGACGGAGGCGTGTGAAAAGGAAAGTGCATCGTCATCGATGTGAGGAGATCGAGGATAGGAAAGAAGGCTCGCCGCTGCAGGAGGGAAAGAGAGCGAGAGAGAAAGAGAGAGGGTGAGCGAGAGAGTGAGAGAGATAGAACGAGAGAGAGAAAGAGAGAGAGAGAGGGAGAAAGAGTGAGTGAGTGAGAAAGGGATCGAGATAGAGAGGAGTCGTTCGTGGGACAGAGAGGCCGTTACATCGAGCCGGGAATTTTGGCAAGCGTCGCTCCGTTAGGGAGCTCCAGGTAGGATAATCGTCGTTATTATTTCCATCTGATTTTAATTGACCACTTTCTACTCTCGTTAAGCGTATAATCGTTAACGTTACAATAGAATCGAGGCCGGCCCTTCGACTGGATCGCGAGCAGCAAACATGGCGGCCGCCTAGGCTACGCTGTCAAATTTTCCCTGTTCCGTCATCGCGGTTATTTTAATATCGAGACCGTGTTTCACCCGATTCCTCGCCCCGCCATAATATTTGACACAAGCGACGTCCGGGAAAATACTCTCGGCCAGCGTGGAACTGCCAACGGGACGACGATATAGAATTATTTCGTTTTTTCTGATCGACTGTTCACGAGCGGCCTGAGTCAGTGCCGCCCGCCGCCGGCTCCAGCGGTAATGAGATTCTTCCTGCTTAAGCTGAACTTTCCTCGTTCAAGAATTTTCATGGCGTAAAAGGAGCCCGGTGGACGGATGCTGTTAACGAGCGTGGCCGCGCGCGGAATTTACCGACCGCTCGCTTGCTCGCTCGATCGCTCGCTCGCCGGGAGCACTGGGACTTTTAACCGAACTTCTGGTTGGCTGGCAATATTCTGAGATTACTACAAATTTACATAGGGGATCAATAACCATTAATTCACGGTGCGAGCCGAGAGGTATTTCATTATCTGTTAATTCACGCCTGCGTCTACGATTTATTAGGTCGGTGCGTGCAAAACGTCCGCTTCCTCGAGCTCTGATTTTATTATTATCGCTCCCGTTATTATTGCTCGGCTTTATTAAACAATAGAATAATAATGTGTCGCGACAGCCAGTACGCGAACGAGACGCGTTACGTGATTAAATTCGAGATGAATATTTTTATTGGATATTTTATTGGGCTGCGCAGAATTAAGGGTAATTAATAATTCATATGTGTTCGCGTCGCTGTTAGTACTTTCAACGGAATTTCTTGTTTCTCGTAGATCACTTCGGAAGAATAAATATAGATTTCTATAGGATAAATATAAAATACAAACGGGTGTATTGTTACATTTTTTTTATTGTGTTTCAGATACGGTTAGGATATTGATTGCAATAATTACTATACCATGCCTTGCTACCACTACCGATACATAGAGGAATAGTAATTGAGGGATCGATATGGTTCAGAAACTTGATCCAAGAATAAAATAAATATTTCGAATGCGGTGACTGCAGAACTACAACTCGTTACTGTCTTTCTTTTACTTATCTGTTTTGTTTGTATAGGGTTATCGTACTCTCGGAACGCAATCAATACATCATAATTGCCGCAGAAATT